TCCTTGTGTCTTGCTTAAGTGTTTTCTCATTTTTATTTTTCTTGTTGGACTGTCCTTGGTTTAATCTCTGGGTTATCACCCAAATCTTCCTGATATAGTTGCACCCTAGCTTCTGTGTCTCTAATGACCCACAGACATTCTCATCTTCATAACATCAGAGAAAACAGCTCATCAAATCAACGGCAATGCTTTACCCCAACTGATACAATCAGCAACACGTTAAGATCAAGCACAACTTTGACACTGACCACCTGTGGTAGTCACTAGTTTATCACCCTTAAATCATTTGAATTAAATTGAAATCAAGAAGCAGTCCAGAACATGTCTGCAGTGAACAAAATTTCTATATAGTGTATTTACCATTTAATGGCTCAGACAGAGTGAGGATGCAAGACCCCTGATCTCAGTTGTTGATGGCTGAACCCCATGACGCTGACTGACCTCAGGCTGCAAGGCCCAGATTGAGTTCCCCAACCTTCTGAATGGTTGAACTCCACAACATTCTATTGCAGATTTCCCACGCCCTTTCTTTAAAGATGTTCAAAGTTGGGAACTCAGAAAAATACCCTTGATGACCACCTCTGCCTCTGCAGAGTGGGTCCAAAGACTGGCACAGTGAGGAAGTCTGAGAGTGCGGAGGGGGGGCTTATGGGGGTTCAGGGGTGCCCGTGTGGCTACCTTCCTGGTGCATGAGCGATGGCGGCTGGGTTGGGAGCAGGCGTGGCTCTCCTTCCCGCGGTGGATCAGGGCCCAGCCAGAACAATCTTGAAGAACAAAGTTAAGACTTTTATCTGCCAGATTTCAAGACTTACTACACAGTAATATTGACTGTGTGATATTGATAAGAGGACAGACAGACGAATGAAGCAGAGTGTAGAATCCAGAAGCATGTACATACAGACACGTGAATCTTACAAAAGTGCTGCCAAACAGTGGAAAAAGGATGATCTTTTTACTATGTGGAACCATATCGTTTTGATGTCCTTGTTAGGAAAGAGTGACTCTTGACCCCTACCTCTCATATCAGTTCCGAGCAAATTGTGAACCTAAATATCAAGTGTTAAGTAACAGGCAAGTGTTGAGAAGATAAATAAGAAAATATCTTCATAATATTAGAGGAGATAAATTCCTCGAATGCCACACCCTGTCAAAAAAAGTGCTTAAATATTGAACTGAATTAAAGTTAAAGCTTCTTTTAGCAATTTAAATATATTAAGGGACCATTTTCATCTTCAGAATTAAGGATTATTTTAATCTTACATCATTGTCTTTTCTCTTACTTTCCTTTTTAGTTTTATTTTAGGATTCCCTATTTTTAATGTTCATACAGAGATTTCTTTAACTGAAATACCGAATAGTTTCTTTGGTGCGAAAAACTATAATAGTACACAGGATCCTAATGAGATCATTAATAAGGTGAAATAGGAAGTAAAGGGCTAAAGGTGTAGGGAAAGTGGGAAGGGTGGGGGAAGGTAATAAGGGAGAGGAAAAAAATATGAGAAACTGAAAAAATGGAAATAAAGTGTTTGTAAATGGGGAGGGGAGGAGGGGATGAAAGGAGGGCAGGGACAAGGGGAAAAAATGAGAATCAAGACCTATTATGTAAAGGTACAGAATCTCAATGATGAATGTAACTGTATTGTATACCTAGATTGTACCAATAAACTCAATAAAAAGAAAAAAAAAGTTAAAAAAAAAGTTAAAGCTTCTTTAGATCAGAAGACGTGACAGAGATTGAGAAGCCAAACTAAAAAGGTGGAAGTTATTTTCAATACATATAACCTAAAAAGAATGTGTATTCAAAATATTTTTAAGATAAAAACTATAACTTCATAGGAAACCAACCAAAGTTGAGGGTTTTGTAAAAAAGGATAGCCAAATAAAAATGCAAAAATGTACTCAGACTCGGTCCTCAGAGGAATGCAAATTCAAATCATGAATAAGATCATATACTCAAAGATTGGCTAATTTTTAAAAACTATTAATACATGTTAATTAGATATAGATCAGTAGAGTTCAGTGTGGTATTTCCGTGCATCCACCCAGTGTGCCTGAGTCCAGCTGCCTTTTCTCCACTCTCCTTCCACCCTATCCAGTCTCTAATGATCACTCTTCTACTTTGAGGTCAGTTATTTTTCTAGCTCCCATATATATGAGAGAACATGCAATACTTTTCCTGTGTCTGGCTTTCAGTAAGACCTCAGTTCACAAACACTTCTGTTCATGAACAATTTGGTGTTGGCAAAAGTTTGTTTCTATTCGTGAACTCTACCTTAGGTAACACAAAGGACCACGAGCATCTTCTCCAGAATGGTGGGATGAATTAGGTTTGTGAACCAAGGTGCCACTATCGTTCACTTACAGAATGTCCTGCACTTCCATTGTTTTGCAGCAAATGATTAGGTTTCATTCCTCTCTGTGGTCCAGTAACACCCCACTGTATGTATGGTCATCTTTCCTTTATTCATTCATCTCATGGGCAGCCAGGCAGATTCTGGCTCAGCTCTTGTGAACAGCACCACAATAAACATGAGCCTGCAGGAATCTCTTTGGTACGGGTTTCTTTCCCTTTGGATATATCCCCAGAAGTGGGATCGCTAGGTAATATGCTAATAGGCTTATTTTTAGTTGTTTGAGGGTCTGTTATACTGTTATAATGCTTTACTAATTTACATCCCCCTCAACAGTGTCTAAAAGCTCCTTTTTCTCCCCATCTGCACCAGAGGTTGTTATTTTTTGTTTTTGTTTTTGGAAACAGCTATGGCTAATATTAAAATGGCTCTGTATACCACATGTTAGGATGTAGAGGAACAGAACTCTTAAACGTTGCTCAGGAGAAAGCTCTACAATATTAGGAACAGTGCAGTCACTCTTAATGTAAACCCTTCTGGAAAACAGCTGGGCAATGTCTGCTAACTTTGAAGATACAACTCCACAGTTTTACCCCGAGGTGCGCACACATGCACAAGGACAAATGAATGCATGGACACCCAAACTCTTTCAGGACGTGACAACAGCATCATCCCTCCTAGCCCCCAAACAGAAACACCCCCAGTGCCCACCACAGTAGGGTAGACACAGCATGATGGGGTAGCCGTGCAATGGGATGGTCCACGGTGATGATTAATTTTCTCCAGCGGCACCGCAGTAACGGCATGGGTGGATCCTTGAGCAAAGGAAGCCAAGGGTGAAAAAAATGCACAAGGCATGTTTCCATGCACATAAGAGTTCAAAAAGCACACAAAATGAAACTGTGGTTGAGTGGTGCATGCACGGCGATAAAAGTATAAAGGAGAGGGTGTCCACAGCGGACAGGACGGGTTATCCCTGTGGGCTCAAGGGGGTGATGGTCGAGCAGCACAGTATGCTTCTGAGGGGTGGCAAAATCATCTTCACTAGCTTGGTTAATTCTGGTAATAGGGTCAGTGTGTTTTCTTTGCCGTGGCTTGTTGGATTGAATGTCTTCGTCGTGTGCTTTTCCCACACGTGTGTATTTCCAGTAGAAAGCTCTGGAATATGAGGCACAGTACGGTCATTCTCAATGTAAACCCTAATCTGCTCTCACCTCTTTGAATTTTTGTACTTTTCTGCCTCTTCGTCCTTCTTTTTGAGGAGACCTAACCCCCCCCCATTCTCAAGAAATTTTCCTTGCAAATTCTAAAATTAGCTTTGGAGAAAGTATACTTCTTTTTGAGGTGAAATCTGACGCACAAATCCAAACTTTGCTCCGTTTAACTTTAACTTCCCAGCTACTCTTATCACCAAACACCTCCCTAAACCAAATATAACAACAATTTACAACTCTAAGATGCTCTTACTCTAAGGCAGATATGTGGACTCTTTGACCTTGTACTCTGAATTCCTCATTTCTTTAATGTAAGTTGAGATCCTGTGCCTTCCATGTTGCCCTCTGTATAAACCAAGGAGTTCTGACCTAAGAGAGCCTGGCCAGCCTTTCGTCACCGATTGAGCACGTCATCCTTAGGACCAAAGCCAGCTTCTCACAGTTTTTTCTTTTTCTTTTTTGGTACCAGGGATCAAACTCGGGACCTCGTGCTTTTGAGGCAGGTGGTGGAACCACTGAGCTAAATCCCCGGCCTTCTTACAGTTTTTTTCTTGAAAAGCATGGTGTTAATATGTTTAATATCCTGCAGTGTTTCCTCCAGGCTCCATAGTCTGATGGGAAAAGTCGTGTTAATATCTGAAGGCCAAGTTGAACATCAAGGCTCCAAGACCCTCCACTTCACGGCTCTCTCTGGGATGGTAATTTCTCTCTAAATTGTAATAGACGTGCCTAGGGTCATATCTGAGCAGACTCCAGAGGGAGAGCACTTAGGTATGTCCAGTAAGTTTTGAACAAATAAAGGTGAAATCTCATTCATGACTTCTTAGGGAATGATAAATCAAAACCTAGAATACTACAAAAAAGATAACCCAAAAGGGTGAATCTTTCCTGGAAGAATTCTAAAAATGTATATATTTCAAGGGAATGTCTCAGGGCAACCCTAACTAAACTGGTGACTTACAGATCAAAGACATTGTGTTTTATGAGCTGTCTGCTGACCTGACAATCCTACTGTCCCTCTGTTACGCGCATCCAGTTAGATAGACCCTCCCTGTCTGTCTACTTTCTTCCTCCAAGAATCACAAATCAGGCCTGACAGCATTTGGTTTCTCATCTTCAGGAATGTAGCTGATACATTCTTTATATGAAAGAGGCAGTCCCAGGAAGGGGTATGAACCAGACGAAGAGTATCCTGTTTCATCTGCACAGAACAAAAGCGACTTTTCCTGTACCAGGGTCTGTGCATGTCTGAGAACTTGGATGAGAACAGACTGGCCGAGCTTAGTCCCGAGCACAGAGATGCAGCTGGCAGGGGAGAGGGGTTCACTGTAGTAAGGGGGGGTCACTCTCCTTCCCCCATGATCACCCTTCCAGCAGAGTCCTGTCTGGCTAAGGGAGCAGTGTTTGACACAGAGTTATTTACTCTAACTGTAACATTCCACCAAGTAAACTGCTTCCCTGCACTGATCCCAAGTTCTGTGGGTTCACTGGGGGCAGACAGACTATGAGTTCCTCATCCACTCGCTCTTCGATGTATAGATGTGGGAGGCGGCCTCTCAGATGGCGCGCAGCATTCATAGCATTGTGAGATCCCCTTCTGTGAGTACCTTGTTTGTACAGTAAAGTACTGGCGATAGTTAAAGAATGCTGTTTCCTAGATGAAGTGATGCCAGCTGGTGACTTCTGTCCTACTGTCACTCTCCCTCTGCCTGGGGTAAAGCAAGATCCATGTTGGGGAAGCTCAGGTGTCAGAACTCAGGGTAGCCTTGAGCCAATGTCCTCCAAAGCCCTGCAGGAAGCAAGGAACTGAGAAAGTCGCTCGGTTCAGTCTTCAAAAAACTGTGTCCTGCCAGAAAACATTTGCTTCTCTTTTCCCCCATTAAGTTTATTGGTACATTCGTTTAAGGTATACAGTACAGTTACATTCATCATTGGAATCTTGTACCTTTACGTGACAGATCTTGGTTCTTATTTTTTCTGCATTCCCCTGCCCTCCCTTCACCCCTCCCCACTCCCCTATTTGCAAAGACTTTGTTTCCTTTTTTTCATACTTTTTTCTTTTCCCTTCTTTCCTTCCCCCTTCCCTTCCTGCTTCCCCTACTCCTTTAGACATTTTCTTCCTATTTCACACTCTCAACTATACCATTTGAACCTTATTTACACTTTTACTTTTTCACACCGGAGAAGCTATTAACATTTGCGTTTGAAAGCAACCCCCTCTCCAGTTAAGCCATCCAGTAAGGCTCTAGTCCTAGCTGACACCTGGGTTGCAGCTTTGCAAGAGAGTCTTTTTTTTGGGGGGGTACCGGGATTCGAACTTGGGTCCTTGCGCTTGTGAGGCAGGCCACCGAACCACTGAGCTAAATGCCCGGCCCTTGCGAGAGATTCTTAAGTAAGTATTCTATTCTGTGCATGGGCTTTTGTCTCTCAAAAACAGGTAAATGTGTGTGGTTTTAAGTTGCCAAATGTATCTTAGCAATGTTATAAAGCAATGCAATAGATTTCATCTGTCACCTTTCCCTCTACAACATATTCTTAATAGTCATTAACAACTACAAACTATATCATCATTAGATATATTTTACGTATTCTATTTCAAAGATGGTAGACTGACACAAATTGAACTCGATATGCTTTCAGTGTATACCGTGTTGCGTTAAACTGAGTCCCTCAAGAGAGTTACTTGTGAACGAACAGCATTGAGAAGCTTCTGTGGTCTAAAATACGACTAGTTCTAATGTCCCTTTGCTGTACATTCATGGTGTGATTCTTAACGACTTCCCAAGCTTCCTTCCAAGCTGGGGGTCCCTCCTGCTTAAGCCACAGAACTATTGCTAGCCACACTCTCCACACCACAGTCGGACCCTTTCCGCCTCCATCTTCTCTCCTCTATCCTGTACCAGAAACGTGGAAGTTGTCAGAATCAAAATGGAGAAATTTGTGTCAACCCTCACCCGCTAAAAATGTAAAGTGAGGAGGAGGGGAAGGGAGGTTTCCCTACGTGAGTGCCTTATAGTAGGCAGCCCTAGATGACCGCCAGAACCACAGGTTTGCACAAAGGACACCTCCAGACCCTGGCATCCCCTGTCCCTAAGCAAGGAGAGTGGGAGGAGCCAGCTGAGACATTCAGCCTAGAGAAGAAGGGAGGCTAAGGAGGGAGGTGGCTCAAAGAGGCAGAAAAGTTAGCCTGGGAATAAAGGTGGAAAACAAAATTTAAGAAAAATGTATTACTCTCTGCCAGCACCTCTGTCTGCTGGGTCCGAGGAGCTCTAAGATGAATGAGGTTCACTCCCTTCCTTCCAGGGCTGTGGCTGGGGACGGCAGGGCAGAGATCAGGTGAGGCTCAGAGGAACTGAGTAATGGAGACAGGAAATCCAAGGTCTGTGTGACAGGCCCTGAGTATAGGTCATACTTTCAGTCTCAGCTTAAAATAATAATTTCTGGCCTCAACACCACCTTTGTAAAAGAGCTAGCGTCATTCCTCTGGATATCCTAAAAACTGTAGACCTAAAAGCTGTGAAGTTAAGAATTATGTGGTCATCGGTCACCCAGTCCCTGCCATAAACACCACCCTCCCCTTTCTCTCTTCTCTGCTTCAATTGCACCAAGACAAACATCAGAAGAAAGGGAAGGAAAAGAGCTTGCCTCCTTCTGTGCCCTCAGTGACTCTATTGTTAGGATTCATCTGGAAGGAGTAGTGAGGGGAAAAGCTGAGCCTGGAATCTGTACTCTCCCTGCAAGAGCCGGGGATTCTGCAGTTAGGGAACCCGTGGCAGTAGCTAATTTTTGGTGAGCCTCTGGCTAAGGCTCTGAACAGGTTTAGCTCATCTCCAAGACAGCGGGGAAGGTATCATCCCGGGGGCTGTGTACAGATTAGTACTTGTGTGCTGAGCACCATCTAAACAAAGGCTATTTGTGGTGCTTAGTGAATGCCAAGACACTGCCTCTTCGTCTTAAATTGGAGAACCACACTCACCTTAAGAATAACAACATTCAATTTCCATCTCGGGCATTATGGCCATCAGGACTCTCTACTGTCACTTTTAGAGTTGGATTTTTCTACAGTAGTCCTGGCTGTGAGTGGGCTGTTCCCTCCTCCCTGCGAGTGCAGTTGTGATAGTGATTGGGATAATTTGATCATTATATTTGTATCTAAAGCAGATGCTATAGGAATTTTACATCCTTGGAGAAGTCCACCTTCTCCTTTTCTCCTGGTTGTCTTGAAAAAGACCCGGGAGTTGGTATTTATATTGGCATCAGGATGGAGAGAGAACATAAAAATGGGTGGATGTACAGTCAGTGATAGATGGAGTATGTGAACATTTTTGGCTTGGAAATCAGTTTTCCTCTGCCGTTGTACATGGGCCAAGGAAGCCCCAATTACTCCAGGTCTTTCCTGGAGTCACTAAATCACCTGGAATGTCTTCCTCTCCTCCCTTCCTGTGGTTCCTTCCAGTGACTTGTTTGTCTTTATCCACAGAACCTTTGTGGAGGGAGGGCCTGCTGTGGCAGAGTGCAGGGGCAGAGCTGCCAGACAAAGACAACAGGGGCTGGAGGAAACGGACCAGGCACATGAACCCTTGTACCCTCCACTCCTGGTGAGTTGGATGCAGGGGTCACAGGCGGCTCTTTGAGGCACCTACAGAGAGGGGAAGAGGGAAAAAGGAGGAGGAGGGGCCCTGGACTCTGAGGGTCTGGAGGGAGGGAGGGAGGGAGGGAGCATAGTTCCCGTGGGATGCAATGTGTGCCGAGGACTCAGGGCAGCGGTGGTGTCAGCAGACAGGGCCCAAGGAGCTTCTGCAAAGAGGAGGCAGAGGCCTTTGTGTTAGCTCTTGGCACAGAAAAGCATTTCGGGAGTCTGAGAGGCAGAGGCGGATTTAGTATGCAGAATCAAAGGAGCACGCACTCAGGAGTGTGGGTGCTCGAGGGAGAGGTGCCTGGTGGTCTGGGCGTGAAGGTTTACGTGGGCTTGAGGGTGTCCTGAAGGTGGACAGCCTTGACAGTGTTTTCCTGCTGTCTGTCAGGTTATCCACAGTGGGCCGACTGCAAACTGTCTGTATGTGTTTGAAGTTCGGAGATTGGCATCCCCTTCATAGTGTTCTTCCCACGAAGATGGAAGTCTGTAGAATTTGTGAATCTATAGTTTCAAAAGAAAAACATGGGCCTAATTTACAGACTTACTGCATCTTTTAGATTCTTTATGAATTTAGGAGTAAGAAATCTGGAAGAAAAACAGGCGTAGGAGTGAGGAAGGCATAATAAACTGAGGTAACTTTGACTGATTTGAGGTTGCGTTTCCTTGAAGGTACGATTTTTAAATTACAATTTCCTTGACTTCTTTCTACCTGTCTTTCTTTCTTCTGTCAGCAGGACCAGCATGGATGGTGGCACTGGGGACACTAGGACCAGCCCAGGTTAGTGGGCGAACCTGGACAATGAAGAGAAACCCAGTACGTGACAGCCAGCCAGGACCTCTCTCCACTTATCCCTGCAGGTCGGACCCCTTGCTGGGTCATGTTAGCTCCAGGCAAGGTGATCTATGATTCATTCAGGGAAGCATCATTTAGGTTGGGGGCCTGTTGTGGGCTGGGGTGTTGCAATCGCAAATTGGCCCCATTTCTGTACCCACGGAGTTGGCAGCCTGGTGCTGCACTTCCTGATCGGGGCTATGAATTAGAACTACCCGCTGGGAGCTTTAAAAACATACACCATCCTGGGCTGGGGGTTTAGCTCTGGTTCCGCCGCGCGCCTTGCAAACACAAGGTCCCAAGTTTGATCCCCAGTACCAAAACAAAACAAAACAGAAAACAACAAAAACACACACCATCCGGAAAGTCTGACTCAGCAGAACAGGGTAGGGCTGCCACCCGCCCCCTCTGGCGGGTGAAAATACAATGAGCGGACAGGAGGCCACCTCCCCTGCTCCCCCTGCACTGTGCTAAGTGTTTTGAGTGGGAGGAGGCAGTGGTGAGGTGGAGCAGGCTCAGACCAGTCGGAAAGAGCTCACTGTGTGCATTGCTCTTCCCTTGACGCTCAGTGGCATCGCTGCAGTCCTCTGAAATCAGTCGTGGTGGGAATATGTACACCATGGAAATTAACAAAGGCTAAAACTCAGGCCCCCCCATCCCAAAAGCCAGTTGTTAAAACACCAAAATACCGTGTGTATGTGGATATGAATTATGTAATTTAACCTTCATTGTAAGCCCAGAGTTTATGCATGGAATAAATACTTGACAGCTTTCATAGCACCTTCAAATATGTTAACTTACTCTCAAATACTCCATGAGAATAGATGGGGCAGAGATCCTTAGCCTCATTTCAAAGGCACACTGACCCCAAGAGCTTACACTGCTGGGGAGGGGCAGACCTGACCTTTAGCCTGAGCTCAACTCTCTGTGCTGTCCCTGCAGCAGCAGACACTGCCCTAGCTGCCCTACGTTTCTGGTTCTGAGCCAGTGTCCTGGTCATAAGGGCTGGAGAGACTAGGCCTGACCCCGTTCTCAGATGCCTGATAACAGGAAGTTTTCCCCAACCCTGGGAGGCTTGGCTTAATAAATGACCTTCCTGCTTGTCTTATTTTTGTACACTGAGTATTCTCAGGCTAAGCCCAGGACCTAAATAGGCAGACTCGCAGAGCCCTCCAATCCAGAGGGTTTATATTTTGAAGGGGGTGTGATGTTGTTCCAGGGAAATGTGTCCTTGGCTGGCATGGAAAGAAGAGAATCAGAACTTTAAAAAACCCACCCCATTAAGGCCTTGGCCAAGGCCATGGGAATTTCCAAATATTTCACTTGTTCTAATTGAGGTAGCAATGAGTATACTTTGCTAGTATGAGGCTTAGAGATTTATGTCACCATGGAAAATCCCCAGTAGTGAGGGAGCTAGTTCTAAACAGTGAAAAGAGCAACAAAACCCAACCAGCACGCATAGATACTGACTACTGTGGAAACAGAGCCACAAGGAAGAAAGGAAAAAGCATTTCTAAGTCCGAGGGTGTTTCTCTCCATACTTATGGTTTTGTCAGGACCTATTTGGTATCTGTTGGGAAAAGCAACTAAGTAAAAAGCTGGTTATGTCATGGAAAAATCCCTGGGAATGTCCTTTTTGAGATAGAATTTTCCTTTGTGCCTGGGGTTTGGGAGGCTAAGACTTGCACTCACAAAAATACACTGCCATGGTCCCAGTGTATTCTCCAAAGTTCATGTGTTGGACATTTAATCCCCAGTGTGACTTTTTAAGAAGTGATTAAATTGTAAGGGTGCTGCTCTCATGCAAGTGTTAATGCCATCATCACTGGACTGGTCGTAGCAGAGTGGGCTCTTGAGAAGAGGTTAAGTTTGCTCCTTTTCCCTCACGCTCAGGTGTACTGTCTTGCCCTTGCGCCTTCTGTCATGGGATAATGTATCAAATGCCCCCTCCGGATGCCAGCCCCTGGACTCGAACCTCCCAGTCTCCAGAAATGTGAGAAATACATCTCCGTTCTTCATAAATTACCACATCTGTGGTTTTCTGCTACAGCAGCACACTCACGAGTCTTAGTCTGTCGCTTACATTCTCTGACTCCTACCTGGGCCTTTCTACAGATGGTGTTCAAGTGGAGCATCCTTTATTTTCTGAAGGATGTTCTGTGCGTTTGTCTGGTTTCTGTTGCTGTAATGAAAACCTGAGGCAGGCTATGTATGAAGAGAGAGTGAGTGATGAGGTCACTTTTGCAGGTCGGAAGTCCGGGCAGTAGGGAACCAGCTCTGGCGAAGGTCCTGTGGTGGACAGTGGAGCGCAAAGGGAAGGAGCGCACTGTGAAACAGGAAGAGGGGTCGGGGTCCCACCGCCTGTTCTGCGGAGATGCCCCACGGGCGTCAGGACCTCGCGTCAGGCTCAGCTCTTAGAGGTTGTGCCGCTTTCCGCGGGGTTCTGCTGAGCACCGAGCTCCCAGCGCATGAAACTCTTGGGACGAAAAATAACCAGACCTGTCTGAAGGCTGGGCTTCCTTGACAAAGGAGTGGTTTATATTGTTGTGGGCAGGAAAGAGGCTAGAGCCTCTGTATCCAAGCCACAGAGGCGTGGGAGGGGAGGGACTCAGGGTCCCTGCGGCCTGTTGGTGGGAGGTGGAAGATCTCTCGCCAGCTGTCCCTCCGCACCTTCCCATACTCCCTGCCGCACCCAGTGCTTGGCTCTGGAGCAAACATTTCTTTTCTCCAGAACCCTAATTGCAAGTGTCCCCCCTGACGCGTTTCAGACAAGCGGGGTCGGGCACCGTGCGGGCTGTTCGTGCACAGGCCGCAGTGTTGAGACTGGAGACTGGCAGAGCTGTGACTGACCTCTCCAGGTGGGCACCCGAACTCGGGTGTGCCAGGAAGCGCCCAGGGGCCCTGAGAGTGTCAGACCCGTGTGAACATAAGCAGGGAGGTTCGGGGAGCGGTAAAACCCTCGGCCGAAATCCTCCGAGACACCACAGCGTGGCTCGCACACCGAGCCTCGGAATCACTTGGGGGCCGTTGGAATGTACGAGTCCCGGCCCCATCCTGACCCACACCCTCGCGTTTAAGCCGACAGCGCCGAGGGCTTCCTGTGCTTGGGCAGCCCGCTCTGAATGGAGCTGTGCCGGCTCCCTCGTGTCTCTGTGCAGTGAGGCGAAGTGAAGACGCACCCGTGGGCTGGGGCACCGTTCTGTAAGCAAAGGATGCTCGTGAAATGGGAGGAAGGGCGGGAGTGCGGCTGACTCCTCTGTGTCTCAGCCTCTCTCCCTCTCTCCATTCCACAGCTTGTCTGGGTTCAGAAGAGTTTCCAGCATGGTTTTGTCAGTAATGTCTGTGGCATCTCAACCAAGTCCCTGGCTTCTCCGAGCATAACAGCTCTAAAAAACAGATGTCACAGGCAGCTGTAAACGTTTTACACGTGTTCCCTGTAGTCCTCGAAAGTCCCCGTGTGACACCGATGTTGTCGTTTCTCCCATCGGACGGAAGGGACCTGGAAGGCCAGAGGGCAGCCAGCCTCGGGCCACGCGGCAGAGTAGGCTGGAATCCAGGCGCTGCACGGCCGCGGCGTCCACACCCCGGGGCCACGGTGGGAGCAGCTGCCTGAACCGGGCCCTCCGTGCACCCCTGTGCTCCCGACAGTCGGGGAGGAGGAGTTCGTAGGAGCTCGTTCGCAGGTGTCCATGGTGACTCTGTTAAGATGATGGAAATCTAGGTGCCCTTTTTAAAAATCAGCAGGTTTTTATCATGGGAAACACAGTAAGAAAACAGAAAAGAAAAGGAACCCCTCTTGCTCGTCTGACTTGTTCACATGGCTTACTCATTTTCAGCGTGAAGGAGGGAAGGACGGAAAGACAGACGCCCTCCAGAACCTGAGCCCAGCTCCTCACCGTCCAAGCACTGAGGCTGCGACTCTTAACCCGAAAGGCAGCCCGACGAAAGCCACCGCTGGTGACGGGAGGGCATCATGGGCCGCTCTCACCACGGACTAGAACCTCTGGGCACAGAGGATTTTTCTGTCTCCCTGGTTCAGAGGTATCCAGAGTGACCATTCTCAACGACAAAACCTTTCCACATGTAGAAAAAGGGCATGGAAAAGAATGTATGGATTAGAGGTACCGGGCTAATGACTTTCTAAGTGCTTCCAAATATAGCAAATCCACGGGACTAATGATGAGGGCTCGCAGGTGTAGCCAGGGCCAGAATGAAGAAGGAGAAATGCCCCCCTCTTATTCCTGCACCCCACACTGTCTCCCAGGCTGGCCCCAGTTTCATTGCCGCACCCACCCAAACAAACTTAAAACCAACCCTGATTTTCTGTGATCATATTTACAAAATGAAAGCTGACAGGCAGTGGCCGTACAGCTAGTCAGGAGGCTGAGGCAGGAGGATCCCAAATTCAAGGCAAGCCTGGGCAACTTACCCTGTATCAAAAGAGGAGGACGGTGATGGAAGTGCTGCTCAGTGAAAGAATACTTGCCTAGCACGTGCAAGGCCTTGGCTTGGGTTTCACGCCCAGTCCTGAGAGGGGGCGAGGAACCCAACTGCATGGGAGTTATGAGCTAATGTGCCCAACAGCTGAATCCCAAGCCTGGCTCGTCCCCCCAAAATGAGGGACCCCTCAGAGACTCCTGGAATATCACCTCGAAAGTCCTCAGAGTCGGGCCCCAGAGGAACCCCGGGCCTTATGTGAGTCTCCAGGACAATGGTACAATTTTCTGGTCTGGGTACGTCCCTGTGAGCATCAGGGACGTGAGGATCACACGGGATGTGGCCGGGACTGGTCTGTTGGATTCCCCCTTTGCCAACCACTCCTTCTCCTTCTGTGAGCAGAGCGGCTCTCTCCAAAGAGCCCCGGGCTCTTGTTTTGGCTCTGAAAGTCCTAGGAGAGCAGAGAGAAAGGTCATCGTGTTATTTTAAACACAAATTTGATACTAAGATATTCATGGCCTGGCATGCAAAGGTTGATAGATAACTCCCCACTCCCCTCTCCGTGGCTGTAGCCCTCACCCACGTCACTTTGACATCTGGGCTCCACATTTTGAGAAAGTTGATC